CGTATCAAATTCGTAGCAAAATCGGAATAAGTTTTTTTAGTGAAAATGGTTCAAATTTATTAAAATTAACTACTACAAATTGATACAAAATTTCAATAATAATAACATCAATAGTATATTTAAAAAAGTATTGGATTCTTGTGTTATTTAATTATTTTTATGTTTTACATATGTTTAATGTTATTATTCACTCTATTTACAATATAAAAATAGTTTATAAATCTTGTTTTTGACCTTGTAGGTATAGTGGTATGTAATAAAATGACATAATACCATTAACTTGCAACTTAATTTTAATATTTATTTATTTTATAATTATTAAAATATGTTTGATAAAATCTTACGATTTGCGATTCGATTTTACGATTCGATTTTCAAAAACATCTACCGATTCGATTCAAAAATGCAATTTTAACAACCTTGGGGTAGAGTAGGTGGGTCGGGTGGGGGTAGGGTAGAGTAGGGGTAAGGTACGATGATGGGGGTAGTGAGTAGGGTGGGGTCAGGATGGAGGTAGGTGGTAGGTAGTTGGGCGGGGTGGGGGTAGCAGGATAACAATAGGGTAAGGGCAAGGGGTCAATTCGGAAACTGAAAAAGCTTAAAGTGCTGCTTAATAATACATGAGGGTGATATGCTTAGTAAGCAGCTTTTTAAGCAACGTGCATGTTTACTTCACCTGTCTTACTAAGCTAACTGTGATTTTAGCAGCGAAGTAAACGCCTTCTTAGTGTCTTGACTACGCCCTTGCATCAAACTGTCTTCTAAAACAATCTACTAATCAATTGTGATTATTATTGTTACCATGAAGGCTTCAAGGAACACACTTTAGAGTAATCACATCTGATGAAAATCAAATTGAAGTCTCCTTCACAAAAGATTATGATCGAGAGGATCCTTCTTCTGTTCCTTTGAATATAGATAAAAGGTAAATACAAGTTACAAATTTCATGTCATTAAAGTTCAAATAAAATAAATATGGAATTTATGTGATGAATTTGGTGATATGAAACGGGAAAAGAATATACTACGTACGATTTTATGTATTGTAGGTACGTAATGTTACCCGGACGATCTGGTTTCTACACATATGCAATCTATCAGCATATTGAAGGGTGGCCTGATGTTGATATAGGCCAAACTCGGCTAGCTATCAAGCTTCAAAGAGCACTGTAAGCTACACTATTAGAAGCAAATTTTATTTTTAGGGTACATAACAATTGTATTAATTACTACATATTATTTACATCATTCTAAATATTTTTTTAAAATATAGGTTCAACTATATGGCCATATCAGATGAGATACAAAGAGAGATGCCAAGTGATAATGATCGGTCTAGTGGAAGGACTCTTGATTATAAAGAAGCAGTCTTACTAACCAACCCATCCAATCCTAATATGAAGGGAGAGGTAGGTTTTTAATTTAAAACTTAATTATATATGATATGATTTCTTTTATGATATTTATGCATTTAATTTAATTATATTAAAATATGTATTTTATATTGATCTAGGTGGACGATAAGTACCAGTACTCCCTAGAAAACAAAGATATTAAAGTACATGGGTGGATTTGTCCGAGCCCACATGTTGGATTTTGGATCATCACCGGGGCCAATGAGTTTCGTGGTGGAGGACCAATTAGACAAGATCTTACATCTCATGTCGGTCCAACTGCATTATCGGTAAGCCCCCCCCCCCCCCCCACCCCAACATTAATATTACTTTAACCACATATTTATTACGTAGTACGTTAAATGGAAATGAAAAAGGTTTTGGAACGACTAAATTAGAAAAGTTGGTAAAATTTTGTGGGACAAAAGTAGTTCCTAAGCACAAATTTTTGAATTGGAACCTTTGATTATTATATATGTTGTCTTATCTTTATTTCTTGATCAGATGTTTTTCAGTGGTCATTATGCTGGTTACAATTATGATGTTAGCTTGAGAAATGGCGAAGCTTGGAAGAAAGTATTTGGCCCAGTTTTTATTTATCTCAACTCTGATCAAGGGGATGATCCAAAACCTCTATGGGGAAATGCTAAAGAAGAGGTAACTTAATTAACATAATCTTTATTTTTTTTATAATTTACTTCAACTTTTTTATGGAATAACAATTATAATTATTGGTAGGGGTGGGTCGAAGAAATCGAAAACCGAATCGAAAAAATCCGAACCGCAACCAAAACAACCGAACCGCAAGAAAACCGAAACCGAACTCAAAAAACCGAAAAAACCGAACTGAATCGTAGTTGTTTGGTTTCGGTTTTGGTTTTCACATCTCAAAACCGAACCGAACCGAATAATCCAAACTTTTTAAAAGTTGTTATTTTATTTATTAATCATTGAGTATAATATTTGTTTAGTACTTAATTCTTAATTCTATAAAATTATTGTTTGATACTAGATTTATTATGATTTGCAAGATATTGACATTTAATATTTATTGCTTAATTTAGTGAAACACTTGTACATAAACTTAAGTTTATCACTATAATACTAATATTATAAGACTAATATGTTAATATTTTAAATCGTAATTTCCATTTGCTTGTTGTTGCATGACAATGTTACTTTGTTGATATATTATATTTTTAAATGTTATGCATGTTTTTTATCACATACTAGTAATTTTTTATATTGAACAAGTATGTATTAATATAAACTATACTTTAAACAAATAGCACAAAATGTGAAACTTTAGAGCATAAATATATTTGGCTAAAAAAAGTAGATTAAATTATTTACTAATACAACTTTAACTTGTGAATACTGTGTATATAGTTCACAAATAAACTCATGCGTTTAATTAATTTAGAAAATGTTTAAATTGGTATACACATACTCTCTAATTCATTGTTTGGAAGTGCATTTGTTTCTTCTCTCTTTTTTAATTATGTATATTTTTGTATTGTATTACTATTAATAATAGTTTGGTGTAGTTTATTTTTTTGCTTTTGTTTTCCAATTACTATTTTTCTAATCAACAAAAATACTTTGGTAAAAACCGAAAAAACCAAAACCGAATCGAACTACCCGTGGTTCCAAATTTTTGAACATAAAACCGAACCAAACCAAATTTTTTACTTTGGTTCGACATTTGGTTTTAGGTGAAATTGAAGCGTTTGAACCGAACTCACCTCTAATTATTGGGTAACAATAAGGAAATTACTAATGCAATATTTTGTCTTGATTTATCACTAGATGGTTGCGGAAACTAAAAGTTGGCCTTACACTTTCCCAAAATCAGAGGACTATCCAACTGCTAGTCAACGAGGCACAGTTACGGGTCGATTACTAATTCGTGATAGGTGATTTACTATTATTATTATTATTATTATTATTATTTCTGGCCATTTATTGTATATTTTCATTAATAAAAATGAGTGAACTAATTATGAGTGCTCATTTTAGATATCTAAGTGAAGACCTTATCCCAGCAAAATCCGCATACATCGGTTTGGCTCCACCGGGGAGTGATGGGCATTGGCAAGAAGATGCTAAGGTTTGAGGAAATGTTTGCATCCGAATTTTTTAATTAGATTGATTTAAATCATCATACATTAACACTAATTTTTTTCTTGCAATTGTTGTTATTGTGTAGGGTTATCAGTTTTGGACACAAACAGATGACAATGGATATTTCAGGATTACGGCAGTAAGACCTGGAAACTATAACTTGTATGGTTGGGCCCCTGGCATTTTGGGAGATTACAAAAACAAAGATGATGTCACAATCCGACCAGGAGAAGAAACAAGTCTCGGTGAGATTGAGTTTGATCCTCCCAGAAATGGTCCGACTATATGGGAAATCGGCGTCCCCGATAGAAAGGCAGCAGAATTCTTTGTGCCTGATCCTGCACCAGAGCTCATGAACTACGCTTTGATCAACCATACTGAAAAGTAAGATCCTCTAGTTATTCTTTTACAAATTAAATTGTGTGAAATGTATTCTGAAACTGTTGTGTATAAAACTTACAGATTTAGGCAATATGGACTATGGGATCGTTACACCGATCTTTACCCTTCCCAGGATTTGGTTTATCGAGTTGGAGAAAGTGATCATCGCAAAGATTGGTTTTTTGCCCATGTCAATAGGTATGGTCTTTTTCTGTAAACACTTTTCTGGGTACTTGAAAGGGAAAAAAAATCTGCTTGGCTAACTTTTTCTCCATCATATAATGCAGGAAAGTCGGGGACAATACGTATGAACCAACGACATGGAGAATTTCATTCCCAGTCCAGAATGTTAACCAGACAGCAACCTACACACTCCGGATTGCATTAGCTGCCACCACCTTAACCAGAATTGATGTAAGTCTTATTGCCACTTCAGCTTTGACATGTATTGTTTCATGAACTGCCATTTACAATTGTCTCAAGAAACATTCCTAGTGTTATATGTATTGTTCAATATCATCAAATAGTCATATGACATGCAATTCTTTTTCATGTACTCCTAGGTTTTGATCAACGACCCTAATGCACACCCTAGATTCTCAACCGATGGAGGTGGAAGGGACAACGCAATTGCCCGACACGGAATCCATGGAGTGTACACGCTTTCCAGCTTTGAGTTCCCAGGAACTGAACTTCAAAACGGAGAAAACACAATATATTTGAGGCAGTCAAGAGGAGGGAATCGGTTTAACGGAGTCATGTATGACTACCTCCGTTTGGAAGGACCAAACTTCTGAGATTTTATATATATTACAGTTATATGAATTCTGTGTAGATGGTAGATAGATAGATAGATAGATAGATAGATAGATAGATATAGATATAAACATTTACCTTAGTACGTATTATCTTCATTCTGCAGCTATTTAATCGCCCATAAGGGGCATTTTTGTCTTAAACCATTTGTTTCTTATTTTCTATTCGACCAGAAAAATCATCTGACTTCCTCATGAGGAAGAATACCTCCAAAGATGAAGAGAAGACATTAAACAAACATGAGAGTACTAAAACCAAAGGAATAATCAAGGGAGATTTTTGTCCTTTCAATCAAACAGGGTATAATAGTATAGAAGCCAAACAAGTTTTTAACTATAAACATCACCATGCATGTAATATCAGAATTGCCTTGATACAAGAAAACACCCCACTGAAAAAAGTCCAAACAGAACGAAAAACTGGGTGTAAAATTACAACAAAAGACATAAGAACTCTCTTATTGGGAAAAAAAAGGTTAGCCCAAGGAAAACATCTACCAAGTAAAAAAACTACAGAAAGCGAGACATGTGTTAGAAACTCACTCATATAAACCGCCTTCTGAAGTTCCTAGCAGTGGAGTGGTAACTGCGGACAAGTAACCCAACCCCAATGCCAACTCCAACACATATTCCAAGGCCAATTCCAACTCCTACTCTCACCCCTGCATTAAACCAAGACAGTTCCCCGTCTTCTCCATCCAAATATTCTGGTGAGTGTCGCCAGTATGCATTGTTGTAGTCCTCTTCACTTTCTGGTTTATAACGTCTGTCGTATTCACTTACCTGCCCAAATAAATGAAGAAGTATCGGAGGATTTGTCAAGACTAGTTACACCTAACATTTCTTGTGGATAAATGATTTCATAGACCACAACACATCTGGTTTGCTCAAAAATGAGATTTAGTAAAAAGATGTCCAACGAGCCAAAATGGAAAAGTTTGTATACCATAAAAGGTAAAATTTAGTGGGACGGAAGGAGTATTCTCATAAGAAACAGTTGTTTAAGGGGTTGTTTGGTTCAAGGAATTTGGAGGAGACAAGTGATATTTATATGGAAATAAAGACAAATTGATAAATAATTAAAAAATCATCTATCCCCTTCCCTTTCCTCCAAAGTCCAAAAGCAAACAAGCCATAAGGTTCTACACATATATGGAGGAAGTCATACTTTTTTCTAAGATCAAGCAAGACAAAAGATGCTTTAAGCCTATTATGTTTAACTAATGCCTGTCATTAATTAATAAATGAAAGTAGTATAAACTTGTGTGGCCAGGACCCCTAAAAATCTGAACTTGGGGTGAGCTGTGTGTAACTATAATAACCCTCATTAATAAATAAATTATAGTAGTATAAACTTGTGTGTAGCCAGGACCTCTAAAAATCTGAATTTGGGGTGAGCCTGGACCCGGGTTGGCCACCCAATCCACCCATATCTACGCCGTTGACCATAAAGGTTTTTTAAAGATGGAGGACAACTGTGCAAAATCAGATGTTCTCTTGGTTCAAGAGTGAGTTCTTTGGTTGACAAATATTTTTTGTCTAAAGCTTCAAATATTATTTTGGAACAGAGGAGATAAATATATAGCATACAAGGAGTTTTCCCAGTCCAGTGGTCTTCCCCTTCGTCATTCCCCACCTGGGATTCACCTCCGCCAGTAACACTTAAGATAAAACATTATGATAAAAATGAAAAAATAACGGATTTAAAGGGGGGAAGTTGTAACATGTATAACATATATCTTGAGTCACATAAAAGTGATTCCAAGCAAAAAATGTACTGCTTTTATCTAATGAATTCTGTGGGGGGTATTTCCATCATTTGCAATGGAGCCAAAGATTCATTATTTTTTGGCTTGAGAATATGATGGAATAAAGCAAAATGGCTCATTAAACTGTCTGCGCTTCTTTGTTATGAACCAGCAGTCAGTCCATGCAATTTTGGACGCGATTTTCACTATGGGTCATCCGGACACAGTCTCTCTGTGCTTTAGTACAGGGGTAAGACTGCGTACATCCGACCCCCCCTTACCCCACCGTAGGTGGGAGCCTTTGCGGCGCTGGGGTAAATGAAAATGATGAAATGAAATGATGATTCTGTGGGGGATGAAAATTGAAAAGGGAAAATCGTACAAGCATTTACCATTTTAATGGAAGAAAATGTTATTACATATCAATGTAATATATCCATCATTTGCAATGGAGCCAAAGATTTACTATTTTTTGGCTTGTGAATATGATGGAATAAAGCAAAATGGCTCACTAAACTATCTGCGCTTCTTTGTTATGAAGCAGGTGACTCATGCAATTTCTTACGCGATTTACACCATAGGTCATCCAAGAAACAGTCTCTATATGCTTTCGTACATGGGTAAGACTGCGTACATCCGACCCCCCTTACCCCACTATAGGTGGGAGCCATGCGGCACTGGGGTAATGATGATGATGATGACCACCACGCAAAGGCCCAAACCCCAGGAAAAACAATGCTAAAAGCTGAAGTTAAGAAAATCAGAATGGCAAGATAAGGACGTGTTCAGTTCAACTTATTTCACTAGGAGAACAGATCTTATCAAGTTAGACTAGACTAGATCTAATCAGATCAAAGAAGGGACCAGCCATAAACACACATACAAAAAAAAACTGTTCATATGAGCAAGTTGTAAGAAAACGAAGAATACAATCATGGTTGTCATGGTGTATTGCGATGAGTCATTTTGCAATGGTGATGGTGTTTTAACTGGTATCCGCTAAACGACCTAAATAAAATATACTCCATAATATCTAAATGTAAGTGTTCATGATTCAACAACCAACAAGGGACCTAAAATATTCAAATATTCAAACCCTGAACTACTTAAGCAAAAGACATGTTCAAATAGTCCAAAATATTTTATCCAAAATGAAAATTCAATGAATTCTAATATAAAATAGAGAAGGTTAAACTGAACTATAGGAATTACAACTTGATTATAAATCTGATCATCTACATCCAATCTCTATGAAGGAACAAAACAATATTCTCACAAGATAAGCAGCCAAAAACTTCATATGTTTGTTTGTTAATTACGGAGTAATACGTGTAGGAAGTGGGTGGCTTAACGCCTATGTTACTATGTTAGTAAGAGTACAGCATGCCAAGGGATTTTGACTCAAAAACTAAACAAGATGAAATTATCAAACAAGCTCACTTGAAGTAGAAACATGGACAATATAGAATATAATACCTGGATATGATCGAGTCCTGAAGAAGAGATATCATCTCTTTGTGCACCATACATTCCATTTTCTGGAATGGAGCCTAACATCCCATTCCTATGATGCTTCTTCCTGTTATTATTACAAAGCTGCAAACTTTTGGTTAAGATGATAGGTGTCCCAGAGAAACACCCAGCCACATAAACTTCAATTGTTGTTGGAGGCGGCGAATCACAACCATTGATCTGTTTTCCTTTAAAAAATCCACACCCTAAATCCACTGCAGCTTCACAACTCATTTTCCATTTCCTCATGCTATTCTTTGATTCTCCACCATTTACCTCCAAAACCCCAAAAAGCAAAAGATCATTATCTCCATCAAAAACCTCAAATTTCACACTCCCGGTCAACCTCACACTGTCTGTGCTCACAAATGTAGCTTCTTCGGATTTCTTGTCCACACGGTCCCTTCTCAAAATGCAAGATCCTCCTTCCGGGAGCATTGAACTGTAATTTGAGCACCACCTGGCACCGTTAACTTCAAGGAGTGTATCTGGGCTTAGAGGTATATGTCTGACCGTTAGACTCTCGGGAGTTCTTGAATCATCTACCATGAAATTGCTGAATCTGATATAGAAAACTCTAATATCGAGCCAAGAAAGAGATTGCTTGTTGCAGGTTTGGTACAATGGGTGCTTGATGATCTGGAGACCTGAAGAATCACCCAATCCTCCATTGGTTGTCACTGATTCATGAGAAGAAATCTCCATCTTCGGCAGTCTTAATCAATTTTCTCTGGCCTTCATGTGCACCCTGTTCAAATCAGCATCTTTATTCATCAATTATGCAAAAAAAAAAAAACCGAAATTGCAGGAAATCATTCTATCTCAGGAAATTTTCAGACAGGTTGCTGACCAAAACATAACCTATCAATTTTTTCGTTTGGTAAAATGAGCACCAGTTCAACTAGGAGAATCTCGTGAATACAAGAATACTGTCTGATCCACAGGGCGAAGATATAATTGCATTTCCTCCCTTAAATCCACAACAAAACGATGATTGGGTGAAACAGGCTAAATTACAGAAGGAGATGGAGAACCGAATTGAAGTAATTAGGGATAACTTAGGGGTGATAACAAAAGCAACCCACAGATAATATTATAAACAGACACCCCAAACAAAATCAAAGATTAAATCTTTTTATATCTTCGGATAAAATCAAAGATTGAATCTTTTTATCTCTTCGGATTCAGATTTCAGAAGCGAGCAGACTAGTATGAACGTGAAATGTAACCTCAGTTTTGGAAAGAACCAAGAAGAACGCTCGGATATTATAAAGGAATTGTCAACAAACAAATGAGACAAGTGCAGGTCACCGATTTCGACACGTTTCCAAAACAAAATGAGAACCAAAAAACTATAGCGAGAGATAAAGTAAGAAAAGAAAACGTATGATGTCCTGGAGCTGAATGCATGAACTTACCCAGGGAAATATGAAATATTATAAAATAAAACATATGTATATCCGCAGGCCAGTGAACAGTGGAATCTCTTTATGATCTATGACTACTGAAAGTTCAAATCGCTTTCACGCTTCAAGGTGGGAGCTTTTGATCTTCTGCTGCCCAACTCTTGCGGCTGATGTCGACTGTGGTTCCTCTCTCCTTGAATGAAAAGTAAAAAGGTCCACCTATCTTCATTATTTCAGTCATCTTTTTAAAGTTAATCTTAAAATTCAGATCATCATTTTGATTATACTTCGTATAAAATATATTCTCTCCATCCCCAATTAAGTTTCGGGATGGAGGGAAACTAAGGATATTAAGAAAATAAATTTGACTTTACAGTGAAGTGCATTGTTTAACACTGTTTGAATACTGTTTGACACTGTTTAGCACTATTTTGATGTAGATAATTTGTCAAATAAGGAAAGTATTGAAGTGCGAACTTAATTTAGGGACTGCTCAAAAAGGAAAGTGGGAACTTAATTGGGGGACGGAGGGGGTAATATTGAAGATGTTATAGATTTTATTACATCTATCCCAAAATATCTAGTCAAAATTTTAAATATTCAGATTTGATTTGTTTAGTCTTGAGTGCTTGATTCAATCTAACTTGAGATTGAAATATGGGCTCGTTTGGTAGTTTACCCGTTAAATTTTTGCATGTGAAATGTTTGCATGCAAAGTTTAGTAACGTAATCACTTTTGCATATAAAATAGATTGCATTATTTGAATAAATGTGTAATTTGTTTTTAATTTGCACACAAAGACATTGCAGTGCTTTATAAAAACATGCAAAGTATTTTATCACCGTCATCCCACGTAAAATACTTTACATGGTACAGCGCGAAATGTTTTAAAAAGTGATCTACAATTTACATTAAATAATCAAACCAAACAATGTAAACTTTTTACGTCCCCCACTTCGCATGCAAAGTAATTAGTTTACCTTACCAAACACACTCTAAGTTTAACTAAAAATATAGATATAAATCTTATAATGAGTCTGTTAGGTAACCATGTTTTTCGGCTTATCGATTTTATCACCCAACTTTTCATCAAACATGTAATTTTTTATTTCGCATGTTAAACATTGTAAGAGTTTTTTTTCGAATTAATGTTAATTAATTAATTAATTACCAGTATTTACCACGGTCAGGGGTAAGTCGCCCAACGGTTGGGCGACTTATAAGTCGCCAAACAGTTTGGCGACTTGTTGGGCGACTTACCCCTTGTATATGTGCGAAGGCCAGCAGCTACTGTCAGCCAGGCACGATCGTGCCTGCAAGGGTAGGCACGATCGTGCCTAATTCCGAAAACAGAATTTCAGCATGTTTTTTGCCCCAATTCAACCCAGACTCATCTGTTTGCTATAAATAAGGTCTCTCTTCTCCTGTTTAAGTGTTACGAGCCAGATACAACACATTATAAATCATACAACACACGTCTTCACAATCACATACATAACACCTACTCTCAACAACATAAAAAACACCTTGAAAATACCCTTTACAAATCAAATACAAAACCTTACATTCATAACCGGTATAACACAGTACAATCATCCAATATTCATAACAAGTAATCATTTAATATTCATACTCGAACACATCAAGACAACATACAAGACTTTACAAGAGAAAATACGTCAAATGTTGTAAATTGTTCCTACAACATCTACTGCATAAGAAAAACTACAATACAAAAGACAAACTACAAGTTCCCATCGTCAGCTTTGTCATGGAGATGTTGCTGCTCATGTTTACGCCTACGCCGTTGTCGTGGTTGAAGAACCACTCTCTCATGCTGCGTCTGGGATGATGAAGCCGCCGCTGCACTAGACGTGGATGGCATCTCCTGAGATGGGAACATTATGTATAAGATGGCCGTTGTCGACTCGCCCCAACACATCTGAACACAAGGACGCAATGCCTGTCAGAGCCTGTCCATACATGTCCACATCATGACTATCAGTCACTGTGGCAGTAGCCCGCTGATGTATGCGCTGCAAAGCTCGTGTCTGAAATATGAAACACAATTACATTTACATTGAAATGCATACAAATATTACATAAATAAAATGACTTACTTTACTAATTACTAATATACTCAACGTAAGATGCAAAGCCAAGGAGCTAGGCTGATAATGATGAGTAGGGAGTCTGAACGAAGGAGACACAAACAAACGAGTGATGCTGTAATACCATCCCGTGTAGTCTCCTGAAACAGATGGCACATATGTCGGTGTCCCAACCACAACTAGCTCAACTCTCCTTTCCCACATAGTCACGTATCGGACATGTCTGAGTGCCCAATCCTTTGTATGCTTCTCACGCCTATCCAGCCTATGCAGCTCAACATAAGTGTCGATAGGCCGTGGAACGACCTGCTCAAACCCAAACTGTTGCAAGACTCTATCAGGCAAATGAAGCTCAACAATGTCAAAACATATCAACGGCACACGTGCTCGCCATATGTGAGTATGCTCTCATCCAGCTGGGGGCAACTTTGCTAACATCTCAGGTGTAAACGGCATCCATGTAATCTGTTTCATAAAGATACAAAATTAGGAGATTTTCTATACATATTATAGTTACTGTTATACTACCCACACCATACTTGGTCCTCGGACATCCGATCAAATGCATCCCTGTACACACACTGAGCCCAGTAGTGGATGACATGCGAGATAGACCAGCATATAGCCATCTAACCATTCATGTAACAGTATCATTTATATGGATATTATTAATGTATTTACACTCAACATACACTCACATAAATACAAAACGATTGAAAACATACCGACGGCCTAGAGGGTCCTCGCCCCGTACATGATGTGGTCCTAGAAGACGTGGAGGCTCATCAGGCAGTGGTTGTCCATCAATGCCATGATATCCGACTATAATGGGACGCCCAATTGGATATACTCCCATGACCAAATCTGGAGGAGTAGCAAAAAACCCCCAAGCTCTGTGCTCCCTCTCTGGTAGCCACGACAAAGCTGTCTGTACAGATAAGCCAGTGTGGCACTACCCCAGCTGAACTATGCTGCTACATCAAACCTCTCTAGCAAAGGCAAGTGCAGCACCTGAACCTCATTTCCGCTCTTGTCAGCGAAAATGGAGGCTCCCATCATCATCAATATATATGCCCGAGCATGCTGCTGGATCATCACCTCATCAGCGTCGAGAGGAAGCACCTGGAAGTGCTCCCTCAACCATGGAATCCTCAGAGATGACCCCTGAAGGTCAGTCCTAAGAACGGGGCGGATACCTAACAACCGCTCACACTCATCCACCCACTGTCGACAAGCAGTGCCTGTAACAGCTCTCCCATGAACCTCTAACCCGGTAAGTACAACAACATCTCCCAATGTCACTGTCACCTCACCAACAGGGAGGTGAAATGAGTGTGTCTCCTGCCTCCAACGCTCAAGTAGAGCAGTGAGAAGCGCTCTATCTAGAGGCACAGTAGCCACTAATCTGTGCAGAGTATAAAAACCCTCAGCACCAACATAGGCTAGAACTCTGTCGTTGACGTGAAAATGCGACAAACCCCGCAGGTGCTCGCGGCACCTATCCACCTGAACATCCATGCCAAGCCAAACATCCTCACTTCTGTGCGAAGCCTACAATGTCAGGACAGAATGATCACTCGGCCCAGGATCCGATGTCACCTCCATGCCTACAAACAAACAAAAATTGTATTAATTCTTATTCAATAATATATTAATTCTTTTTTTTTAACATCCTTTTTTGAAATTATCATTTTTTCTTGCAACGAAAACATGAATTGTGATTGACTCTAAATAGAACCTTACCCAGTGGACCCCCCTCGTGTGACACCGCACCCGAACGTCCTTGAAATTTCAATTTAAAAATTCAAAGTTTGTGTATTGAATTTCTAATTCCCAAACAATTGTAAAACGATTGTTGTTTTACGTAATTAATGATCGATTATTATACTGTTCGAACTCGTATATTAGTGTCGGGTTTGTGAATACTCGTTTGGGCCTTATTAATAAATAAAAGAGCCTAACATTATCTAAATAGTGATACATAACCTTTCAAGACAAGTTGAGGAGGGTTGGGCGGCCCAAACATTATTTTGGGCTCAACCTGCTAAAAATAGCAAGTATTCAAGGATGGCGTCCTAGGCTCACTCGAGGGCGACCCACACGGATAGTAGTCCAATAATATGAATGACAATGTCAAAATAAGTGATAGAATGACTAGAGAAGAATACAAATGCCTATGGTCCCATCTTTGACATTATTGAGATGAATAATGGCAGTAGGATTTTTCCTTCTATAATATTCATCATGTAAATTATTGAGATGAGCCTACACATATTGGAGATCAATAATGTGATGTAGGAAGTTGACTTGTTCTAAATAAATTAGGATGAGTACAAAAGACATCTTTTAGCAAAAGATAAAACAATAGGACCCGTTTTCCCATTTTTGGAAGTATTGGTAGATATTTTGGACCCCAAAATAATTGGGATCAATTGGGAACCACTCCACATGATATTAGTACCTGCAAGACAAATACAAATGGGTGAGAGGACTTACCTTGGCCGTCCATCAGGGAGAGGGGCTGCACAAGACTTGATAGGCATCAAAGGTTGGGCCACCATCTCTATTTTCGCACAAAATGGTGTGCTGTTTGTCTCCACTCATTATGGGAGTTTTACTCAACCAAACAACGTGTATAAGGTGTCCTTGGATAGACTTTTAAGTCTAGTTTCTTATTTGAGTGGTATCTGTTCGAGAACGGAGAGTTTATCATACAAAAATCAAGCTGGAGTGAACTGCTGTCTGTAAACTCGAGCAGTGAGAGTGCTGAGGCTGTTTGGTTTATATCTCGAGTTATACCAATCCAATCGAGGCGTGTAAGATACCAAAAGAAATATCTCAAGACGAGGAATCCGTGAAGGTCTGGTTTGCATCAATCGGAGTAGTGGAAGGCTTCCAAATCGTCCGAGCAAAACACAACCTCGCAGAAACGGATCTAATCTTCTAAAGTGAGTTTTAACCCCAAAACCTTTCCCTTCATTTTCCAAATGATATGAACGATTGGTGGAACTATTATACACTACTCTAAGTGTATAATATGTCCCTATTAAGTTATTTTATTGATGTAAAGGTTAGATACTAACCTAGAGCAAATCTTGGAAAACTAGGTAACGAGTTAGCCGGA